AATATATTTTAAAGAGTTAAAAAGATCATGGCAAATAACAGGCCAAATCAATTATTATATTATATGCATGTATAAATATGTAATAACAAATTCCAACATTATGCACAACAATAATGCACCAATAAAAATATGGAAAAAATCTCTGCAAATAGGAATATAATAGACCCAGTAGACAAAGAGTTAAGAAAAATAAAGAAGAAAACTTTGCAAAAAGATATAGACTTTGTAGTCAAGTAAAATTGGTTTTCAGTTTTGCAATTGCTAAGACTATATGGTTCAACTTTTTTAAGTCTCATTTTTAGGATATGTTTTGCATTTATGTAATGGCAAGTTACAGTTTTTCCCTTTACAGATTAGTAGTATGGGACAATGCAACACTATGTAAAATGCTTAGGATGTGTCCTACTGCAAGGCAAGGGCTAAATTATTTGCACCTATTATTATTATTCAGTGGCTGCTACTTTGTCCACTCTCCTGCGTTTTCCTTCCCCAGTGGTAATGCTTTCTAGTCACAGCATCTGATTGCAATTAACTATCTCCAAGCACTGCAAACCATAGGTCTTTCATACGTTCTTCCTCTTTGTACTTACTTCGGTTTGCAAGGATAGAGTGGTATGTGTAATTTTTTCTGTTTCCCCACATAAAAGTCCATGAACTCTTCATCAGGGCAGAGTCAGGCTCTGCTTGCCTTACCATGACATCCTTGGTATCACCCATATGCCTTCTACTGTGCAATATACATTATATATTCTATACACTATATGTAATATTATAGGGATAAAGTGATGGAGTCAATATTTATTGACTCATTGATACATGAACAAAACAGAGCTCTCATTTTAGAAGGCTACTGATTCTCCATCAGAAAGAATACTAGTGTTCTGAAGCTGTGAGAACAGAATATAGAATACAAATAAATTCCTTGCTAAAGGTTCCATTTGAAGGGAGGGTAATTTCAGTCAGAATGTCCTCCACCTTCTTCTTTCCAACCAGGCATCTACCATTGTATTCTGGCTTTCCAGTGGCTACATGATGCTTGCAAACGTCTTATTTAAAATGGGTTCAAGGGGCAGGGGTTCCTCCGAAGACATTTTGAAAAGTACAGTGGCAGAGTAAGGTTCCTGAAAGGGTGGGAGATGAGGTTCACTTTCTTCCTCCCCTTCCAGTCTTACCAGGGTCACTTAGCTGTCAGATGGGCCTCTGTACTAGGAGATCATTCCCTGTGAGTAGGGGGATGTGGGAGAGTGATTCTGGTTCTGACTCAAATGAGCCTATTCATACCAATGTGAATTATTTTTAAACAGAGGCAATGAATTAATACCAGGCAGTCAGCTTGCAAAGAGAGCCAATACTACAGTTAGCTTGTTATTTGCTCAGCAGACAAGTTTGTATTAAAAGTAGACTCCTGTCTATTACCTATCTATTTACCCTTCTACGTATGTCTATGAGACACAGGGAAAAAAGTTCCTGCTAATGTAGCACTGAAAAAGTTATATTTCAATACAAATACAAAAACTAAGAGCTTGTTTTCCTGCTCTGCAGATTGATCCAATAAAATGACTGACTGATCTCAAGGTGCTGCCTTTTGAAGTACAATATTGAAATGAGTCCTCATCTGAGCAGTTCATATCATCATAGTTTTGTCCCTCATTTGGCAGACTGAACACTGAGAACACTAGGTGGCCTGAGGTCAACTGAAGGATCTACTGCAGGACTCTAAATTCCTGGTCTGTTATCAGAGGAGACATTCAGGTGCCCCAGAATCCAAAGCACCACCAATGTGAGAGGGTGACAAAGGCTTAAGCTTCTGTTAATTTATTTATAACAAGAAGAAGACACTTAGGAGGAGTCAGTTCACAACCTAGCCAGGATGCTTATACACAGCAAGATACAAATGGACTTGCTTGAAACTGCTGCACCTTCAGGGCCTGTTCAAGAGCATCATGACTCCATCAGTGAATGTCATCTCCTAACCAGGAATACCTGGGCCCACCTTCAGAATGCTACCCTCAATTACTGCAAATGTCATCATT